TATGGTTTTGTTTACTTCCGTCAAGTTAAAGACAAAAGTGATACAAGAGGCTACTTTCAGAAGGTTTGTTATCTTGTAGTACCATTAATATACTTTAAAATCTTGATATAAAAATATACAACAGGTATATACAAGAGGCTACTTTCAGAAGGTTTGTTATCTTGTAGTACCGTTAATATACTTTAAAATCTTGATATAAAAAATATACAACAGGTATAGCTACAGAAACACAGACCTGACCTATCAAAAGTGTGTAACAAATAGGTTCTGTCGAAATATTATAAGATGTTGAAGTATTGCATTTGTAGATTCCAGATGTTTCCTCACTTGTCAAATTATTGTGTTGTCAAGAGGCTTCACATTGTTTGACTGGAATGTGAATGTTAACTTTAAATTGATAGATCTACACCACTTCTACTGTCAACCTGGCCATCCACTCAATTTGTTCAAATCTGGTGTTAAAAGTTTTGGTGTGGTGCTGGAGCTGGAGACTAGTACAAATAGGCTTAATCTGAGATTGATTTTGGTGTTTATACTAAGCCACATGCTATATGTGAATCTATTTCTAACCCATTAGCTGTAGCTCTCATGTATATCAGTCAGACGCTGTAGGCTACGGCAGCTGAAGCTCTCATGTATATCAGTCAGACGCTGTAGGCTACGGCAGCTGAAGCTCTCATGTATATCAGTCGGAAGCTGTAGGCTACGGCTGGGCCAAAAATGGAATTTTACTGTAATCGTGAGGGGTACTGACGAAAAAAGACAAAAAATAATTGTTCGGTAACAATACTTGGGTGTATGGAGAGTGCCTCGGTACCCATAAATACACTTTACCAGTTCTGGCAGGAAATTAAAAAATGAAATCCATATTGGGCACAGCCACAGTGTACAGAAGAAAATGTCTGACCCGTATACAGCCACAGTGAAGGTACTTAACGATACATGACAACCACAGTGAATGGATTAATTGGCTGATTGTCTAAACAACATAGTCCACTTCTGAAGGTACTTAACGATACATGACAGTCACAGTGAATGGATTAATTGGCTGGTTGTCTGAACAACATAGTCCACTTCTGAAGGTACTTAACGATACATGACAGCCACAGTGAATGGATTAATTGGCTGATTGTCTAAACAACATAGTCCACTTCTGAAGGTACTTAACGATACATGACAGACACAGTGAATGGATTAATTGGCTGATTGTCTAAACAACATAGTCCACTTCTGAAGGTACTTAACGATACATGACAGACACAGTGAATGGATTAATTGGCTGATTGACAGCCACAGGTATTCATATCTGCCTTTTGAAAGGTTCAATTTGTATTGGAAACTGACTTGTACAAGTATACCCTCAATATTTCTCAAAATGACCAGTTTGTATGTTAACTGGTCTATAATTTTGACCACTGGAAAAAGGCTTAAGTCCAGTGTTTACTAGTCATCCTGACAGTAAATAATGAGATCATTAAGGGCCCTAAGAACATAGTGGATAGCTGTGACTTCTGGAGGTGTGGACCCCATCCTTTATGGGCTGGGACTCAAGACCAGCCAAAAGTTTGATAAATAAATACGATTAAAAACCACTTTCTGGTTACACATTTTTATTTGAGAACAGTGTAAACAGAACGAAGTTTCTAACAGTATTTAATTGTTTATGACAAGTGTCCAATAAGAATTTTCTTATTCCTATTGATTAAATGAGTAACTACCGTAACCAAGAATTGATGAAAGGCAAAAGTTTGTATATTATTGTAGATAGGACAATAGGATTACAGGAACATCTACTGATTACCTTTGGTGATGTGACTTGTAGAAGAGTTTCTGACTCTTATATTGAAGCTACTTCAAGATTGTCTCTAAACTTGCAAGACCATTTGATGCAAAATTGTTAATATTAATTTAAAATTCATTCTAAAACATGATCAAAAAGTCAATGAAAAAAGAAAAATTAAAGCCAAGAGATTAATGTTTTTAATCTACCTTTTAGATAAGTTTTTAAGTTAAATCATGCTACTTAGTCTCTCCAGTTTTATTTTATGAAATTAAAATGTTACTTACAATTAACAGAATTTTTTTTTTTATAAGTATTGTGTAAAGAGTTTAGTGTTAATTTATTTTCAGTCTGTTGTATTACTGACAAACCTCCCTCTCACAAATCTTTACAAACAAGTCGTGGCCATCATTGCGAACAACTATTTTGAGAGTGGTGAACCAAGTATTGAAGCAGGTAAGTTAGTAAGTATATGTGTTTTAATGGTGGTGAACCAAGTATTGAAGCAGGTAAGTTAGTAAGTATGTGTGTTTTAATGGTGGTGAACCAAGTATTGAAACAGGTAAGTTAGTATGAGTGTTTTAATGGTGGTGAACCAAGTATTGAAGCAGATAAGTTAGTAAGTATGTGTGTTTTAATGGTGGTGAACTAAGTATTGAAGCAGGTAAGTTAGTAAGTATGTGTGTGTTTTAATGGTGGTGAACCAAGTATTGAAGCAGGTAAGTTAGTAAGTATGTGTGTTTTAATGGTGGTGAACCAAGTATTGAAGCAGATAAGTTAGTAAGTATGTGTGTTTTAATAGTATTCTATTCTCAGTAATCTACGTTAAGTAGTATCTACTCATTTGATTTCTAGCTATTTTTTAGATAACTAATTTCAACTTGATGGAAGTTCTATAGTACTCATTAAGATAAACAGTTAAACAGCTTTCACTGTCTGGTAGAATTTATACATTAAACAGTTTTTGCTCTATCCACTCCCATGGATTGAAGATTGTGTCACTAAAGAACATAGCTTTAGGTTCTGGTTTGGATTGATGTATTTGTTTTATTGACATTTATTGTACCTATAGTTTTATTCAACCCTGTTATTTATACATCCCTTATATGATATCATATAATATGCTTATATAGAGTGAGTTTTTTATTACTTGTATGGTGTTTCTTAACTTATTATCTGTGTAAACAGGTTGTCATGATATTGATCAATGGCCATCTCCAACACCAGGATCCACCCTACACCTGCCATTAATGGGAACAGTATTTCAGGTTTGGTAACTTAGAATATCTGCTGAAGTTATGATGTGTTCTGGATAAGATAATCTAAACCCTTCACTAACATTTTGGTGACAGTATTTCAGACATCTTAACTTAGAATATCTGTTGTGTTTAAGAAGTACCTCACAATCTATGTTTTTATGTTCTTGTTCTGCCTAGTTTTCTTTTCTTTATTCACAATACTTTTATTATTTTTATCTCTTCCAACTAAGCCATTCTTTAAAGATTCTAGAGGAATTTATTAGATATTCTGGAGCCATTTAATAAATTTCATGATCCAGGAGTAATAATGTATAATGGTGTGAAATCATCCAAATATAATCTATATACTACTGAACCTCTGAGATTGTTTGTTTGCTTGTCTCTAATTAAATACAACAAAAAACGGCACACAATACCACCACATTTGTAATGAAATGAGAATAGAAACAGAATAAAACAGGTTTCGTTAAAATCGGGCCACGGGTTATCGAGTTAGCCCCATTTTTCGGGTCACTTTTACGAAAATTTCTACCATGAGTAATTTTACATCACACCGTTCTCGCTCTTTACGAAACTTCTTCATTCAAATCTATTTTCCTGTCAATGTTCCCATCTTCATTAAAAGGTGAAGATGACAAAAACAAGATTGAAGA